ATTGGCTCAAGTATAGCAGGGATTGTGGGGCTGGCGCGGGATCGGGCAGTGTTTCGTTCTGCTGTGCATGGGGTCGCTATGAGTTGGAAATGACTTGACAGCACTTAACAACGACAACAACAGGAATCTAAGAAGGAGTTCTGGTAGCATAGTGCCTAAGGCACTTGACTGCTAACCAGAAGGCTGGTGGTTCAAACCCAACAGCCATTCCTCGGAAGGAAGGTTGGGAAATCCTACTTCTGTAGTGATACTGCCTCGGAAATCCAAGGAGGGGTCGCTATGAATCGGGGCCGACTCGATGGCACGTAACAACAAAAACAAAAGGAATCTAAGAATAACAATATGGTTGACTGCATGCAAATCTTGACCAAATCTATAGCCCATTATTTGTTTTTTTTAACTGGAAGAACGGGAGTATTACAATCACTAATATAAGGGACAATTAAACCTTTAGAAAAAAAATTCTATATGATAGGAGTTAGTCTTTCTTTTGCTTCTCACTTGATTGGATGCTAGGGAATTTTTCCCAGATGTTTAGATAAATTTATTTGGATTTTAATTGACTCAGCTGATCAAACTCAACCTACATCTGTGGCTGTAGTAGCACATAAAAGTTTCAGGAATTAGGGAGGAGATGTCACAAGGAAGAGGACTAGGCTGAGTTGAATTTTGGGAAGGCATGACAAGTGCCTGCATCGAGCAAATGGCTTCTTCTTCCTGAATACTATCTAATTCAGAGTCTGTCTCTGTTCACTTAGGGATATCAAGCAGACTAAATAGTATTTCCCCCTTTTCATTAAATTTTAAATGGCAATTCCATTTGGATGAAAGATTTCTTCTCCACAGACTGACATGGGTATCATAACTGAGCAAAAAAAGGGGCATAAATCTTCGGTAGGACCAAGAGATATTGGAAAAGGTTGAGAATGAATCAATGTTTGTTCCTCATGGTCCTGTCATTTTTGAGGTTCTGGTATCCCAGGGCAGAGGTTTTGTAAACAGGTGGTATTAACAGCAGACAGGTGGCATGATAAGGGGCCATAATGTAGTGAGCAGGACTCCAAGAAGGTGGCTCCAAATCTTCTTTAGACACAGCATTCCCAATTTATAATGACAGTTAAAACAAAACAAACTTTCACTTGCAAGAACCAAAACAAATCCACAATGAATCTGAAGAGCTATCAACACAAGGGAACAAAGCTTGGATTTGAGAGGTTTTTCACCTTAAATGATTGCTGAGAATTCAGAAGCTGACAGCCCAGAGTGGCTCAGCAGGTACCATGCTGTGTCTGGATGCCCCAGGGATTGTCAAAAATAAGGCACCTTATCTTGCTTCTGACACCAAAAATGTCAAAGAAGAAAATCTCATACTCTGTTAGAAGTAAAAGAATATGAGTTTTACTGAGGAACAATACAGCTCAAACTGAGAAGTGCTAACTAAAAATACAAAGCACTCTGCTGTCTCTGTCAAGTTAGAGGCACAGAGAACAAAAGAAAGGAAAGGAGTTAGTGATTAATTCAGTTTCAGCCTTGGAATCCTCCCCCATTTGGCTGGGGGAGAGTGGGTTTTACCCCTTAAGTTAGTGGCACCAGACAGTTGGGATATGCACATTCTCCCCAGGAATAAACTGTTTACATCCTGACCTTTTGCTTCCTGGGAATGCATGTTGATCTTGCCATTCCTGACCTGAGTGCCTACACATTTGAAAATTTCCATCTGCACACATGCTAATATAGTCATGCATCGTTAATGTCCACAATATGTTCTGTGAAATAAGTTGTTATATTATTTGGACATTGTTGAACACCACATTATATACACAGTCTCTATTATGAACAGGTTCTGTTCCTATGTCTGTCTTTAAACCAAACTTGTACATAAGTCAGAGTTATGTATGGTTCATAGCTAAAGTCAGTTATTCAAATATTTGCTTTAGTATAATATATAGTGTACCTTTCTATGCATAAAAAAATATTAAACAAAAAAACCTTCCAGGTACATTAAAACATCTTTAAGATGAAAATACAGTAATAATAATATTTTGGTGCATGTTACAAAGTAGTGCCATTTGTTATTACGAACCACTATATATACCTCGGAAGCTCTGGTGGAGTAGTGCCTAAGGCATTTGATTGCTAACCAGAAGACTGGCGGTTCAAACCGACCAGCCATTCCTTGGAAGGAAGACAAGGCAATCTACTTCTGTAGTGATACCGCCTCGGAAACCCAAGGAGGGGTTGCTATGAGTCAAAATCAACTCGACGGCAAGTAAGAGAGTGAGATATACACCTCAAATTTTTAATATAATAAACTTCTTACAGGGGTTGGGACCACGGACATATATGCTGTTGGACATTACCTGAAAAGACATTATGAGGCGCATATCAAATACAGTAAGCCATCAATGCTTAACGTAAGAATCACAGAGCATTAAGAAATCTAGGCAGAATCCTGGAGCCTAGGTTTAGCCTCTCCTGTTACACATTATGAATCTAAAGTTCAAAAAAGAGATTTGTGAATCCAGGGTTCTAATGAAAAGTAATTACACTTATAAAGTATAAAGAGAGGGTTTACTGTGCTTATGGCTTATCATTCATACATCTAAAGTAACAATAATTACTTGACTCCATCTGTCACATTATTTTACTATGATATATTCATATTTAACTTTGTCCAAAGCAGAGTTGAGCTCAAAGCTGAGCCAGCAGTTCTCAATTAAAAGATACATGCTCAGTTTAAGGGAAGGTTCTGGTCTTGCTTCTCAACTGACAAGGTAAGTGCTAAAATCCTCTATTTTGTTCCTAGGTTACCTGTTGTGGCAAGGACAATATGTGGGCCACTTCCATAGCTGAGGCAGGCTATTTTTTTGCCACTTAAAGAATCCAGTCTCCGAGGTTCAATGGTGCTCTGGACATCACCTAATCCCAGACAGCCGCAGGAGTTTGTGCCAAGCACAAAAATCTGTGAGAAAAGCCACCATTGGTTAATAGACTTCTATTTCTGATACACCTATAAGTTACATTCAAATAGGCATGGTCCTCCTAAAGCAGAACTTCGATATAAGTAAGAGATCTACGGTCAACACTCTTTTTGTCTTAATTCCTTAGTTCCCCTTAAGTTTTGCAAATTTAGCAAATTCGGCAATTTAGCAAATCCATTACTAAAAATGTGGGTGGCTGAAATGTTTCCTTCAAAATTACCTCATCGTTCACTGTGGTATATAAAACTTCATTGCCAGCACTGCCAAAGACACAAGCTTGACGAATTAACTGCAGTTCTTCCTCAGAACAAAGGGAAAAAATTGGCCACTTTCCCACATCTAGCATCTTCAAAGATGACAGAGTAGCCTGTACTGGCTGAAAAGGAAAAAAATAAAAATAATTAAGAAACAGTCAAACAAATTTTCTTTGCCCCTTTCACTTCTGTAAAAGAGGGTTACTTATCACAGTTTTAGGGAGGAACAAGCTACATCTCTTTCTGAGAGGTTGCTCACAGTGGCAGCAATTGCCTCAGTAGTGTTCCTAGCACAGGAATCACTTCAGTACTGCTGTGACAGTAACAGGCACCAGAGGCCCTGGGTGGAATCAGATCTCACCTGTTAATTTTCCTCAAGGACAGAGGAGTTACCCATGCTGGACTTTGGGAAGCTAAATGTCTAGAAGTATTTGAAACATTGGGTATGTCTTAAATGTAGTTCTGCAAAGTAGAGTGGTTCTAAGAGCAGGGAAAAAGAGAAAGAAGACTGTTGTTTCATCTGTTGCCTAAGTTTTAATTGCAGGGAGTATATTAAAAGAGGGAAATAGAAGGTCATAACAAAAGCAAGTCTTTGGAAAAGAACAGTGCTGAAGGTGACACCAGGGAAATGATCTAAAAGTTTCAGTTCCAGGGCAAGCTTTACCTGATCTTTAATTTGAGTGATTGGTAGTTTCCCCTACTTCCACTCAGCTTTGGGGACTGGATCATGAGTATCAGCAACCCCATAAGAGTGTTATGGGCCTGAAATGTGTCCCCACAAAATATCTGTATTCCCATACCTGTGAATCTAATCTAATCAATGGAATGGAATCACCTTCCATAATGCAATCTAATGGAATAGAACCAGTCAGTTGAGGTCATGTGAGTTTAAAACTAATCACATTTACCTTATAAAAAGAGCAGCAGAATGGACAGAGAGATGCATATAAAAACACATGAAACAAAACCTAAACCCATTACCATCGAGTTGATTTCAACGCAAAATAACACTGTAGGACAGACCAGAATTGCTCCATGGGGTTTCCAAGGCTGTAATCTTTACAGAAGCAGACTGCCACATCTTTCTCCCATGGAGCTGCTGGTGGGTTCGAAAAGCTGACTTTTTTTTTGTTAGCAGCTGAGCACTTTAACCACTATACCACCAGGGTTCCTTATGCACTGAAAACAAAAACAAAAACAAAAAAAAAACACCTCATTGTCGTCAAGTTGGATCCAACTCATAACGACCCCTACTTGGGTTTCTGAGGCAGAATCACTACGGAAGTAGATTGCCCAATCTTCCTTGTCTTTATGCACAAGGGAAGATAAACACCATGTGAGAGTCATCTATAAGCAAGGGAAGCAAAAAATGTCTCAGACTACTTAAAAAGAAAGAATCAATAGCATCAAGACCCTGATTTGGACTATCAGGCACTGAAACTGTGAGAAAATAAAACCCTATTTTTTAAAAGCCACCAACTTGTGGCATTTTGTTACAACAGCACTAGCAAACTAAGGCAAGCATTCAGTGTACACATTAGGAAGTTGCTTGAAAAGAGTTTTTACTTATTTCCTACTCTGGAGACATTTTTACTTGCATACTTTTCAACTTTTGAAAAATTTTGAAAATTACAGTAAGATGCATAAACGTCCTATCAAATGACATGCTTGGCCATTTCCTGCAAAAATTGCCGCATGCCTGCTTAAGGCAAAGTGGCAAAGGGTTTTCTAAGGTCTCTCTTTCTCACCAGCTTTTAAATCAACCCAACGAAGAACAAGTTCTGTTGGACAGTTGATTGGACTAGCTATTCAGCTTCCAAAAGGTCTGAAAAGATATCCATCCTTTCCCCCTTAGGAGTACGGAGAGGCTGTAGGAAAGCATAAACCAGCAACTCTGCTCTTTTAAAGTGCACACCATTGGCTTACAAGGCTCCCCACCTCCTCGTCACCATGATTTACTCTGGGCCCGACCTTCAGAGTCAAGTGCATTTCATGAGTATAGACACAGAGTCAGTCTCCTTCACCACTGTATCCTTGGACCTGTGAATAATGCTAAGTATACAATAAATACCAGTTAAATGAATGAATGAATATTTCAATGAATGAAATACTCCAAGATTCACAGCTCTCCTTTCCTTCCCATCTTCTTCACATTGAAGACATTCCAAACTCCTGGCCCCTCCATTCTCTGCTCTCAACTCCAATGGCCTCCCTTTCTACTTTACCTAAGCAATTCCATCAAATGCTACTCTATTCTCAAGTTCTCAAACTCTGAAATGCCCTTCTGATAACAACCAACAAGCCTAAATTTGTATCTAAAGGGAGTGAGTTCTGTAGTGAGTAAAAGAAGACTATTACAGTGCATCAAACAGGGGTCTCAAAGGCCAACCAACTTACTGTCAAGGAACGCAGAGCCACCATTTTCCTTGTACTTATGCTTTTGTTTCCAGGTTTCTATGTTTTCTGAGTAATTTTCATGTAACTTCTGAATACTGTTCACCACTCCCATCTGTCAGTTTGTTGTATTGTGGTGGTTTGTGTTGCTATGATACTGGAAGCTAAGCCACCAGGATTTGAAGTACCAGCAGGGTCAGGTTTCAGCAGAGCTTTCCAACTAAGACAGACTAGAAAAAAAAAGACCTGGCAATTTACTTCAAAAATGAGCCAATTGAAACCCTGCGGGGATCACAACAGAGTATTTTCCAAATGGACTCAAACATGCCAATGGTAGTGAAGATGGCACAGGACTGGGTAACATTTCAATCTGTTACATACAATGTTGCAATAGAATTGACTTGAGGGCAGCTGACAATAGCAACAACTAAATGTGCAGCTAAAAAGAGCTCTAAATGTATCCAAGATCATATACAGGGTTGGCAGACAATGGGCCTCTCAGGGTGCACAAGAGTATGAAGGGATGGACACTGGGAGGAGGTAACTATGGGGAGGAAGTGGGAGGGGAGCTGCTGCATTGTAAATTTTGGTCAATG